GTCATATAAACCATATAAATAGACTTAAGATGCATATCAAGTTTTCATGTCATGCTAGACATATAAGATAGATAAAAGTGATTGCACACTCTGCTGACTTTATACTTTCAAGTATTTGAACAGCAGGTCCAAAATTATATATATTTCATGTAAAACCAATTCTACTTGAATTGTTTCTCCACACTTAAGATCCTCATATATATATTTAGTGTTATCGTAGATGTAGTCGACGAACATTTTATAACAGTTCCAACTTCCTTTTTTTTTTCTTCATAAAGACATAACATAGAGATCTCTTAATTCATATTTTTCAGGTACCTGAACCTCTCCTGAGATTTTATGAAGTGTTGTCTTCTAGATCACTTGCCTCCTTATTATGATCATTTGCTCATCTTCTTTATCAAAAATTTTATTTGAAACCGATTTGTCTATACGTTTTAAGTATGCCATAGACTTTGTCCTTTTAGGACTTATTCTAATATGAGCATTTGTAGTGAGAATATAGTTACTTTTTTGGGGTCACAAATGCGTCTGGCATGCTTTGCAATATATTGCAGATGAATTATCTTTTTATGAACTTCAAGTTCATATTATCTTATTCGAGGATCCAAATGTAGAAATGATAATTCATTCCACGTAACTTTTTTCCAACTGTTTATCTTTTCTCCCCCTCATGTTAGAAAAACTAACTTGCTTCCTCAACTTTGAAAATTCAATTTTGTGCGTTATGGTGTTAATCAAAATATACACTGCACATCAATAATAATAATAATAATAATAAGATGGAATTATTTGGTTCCTGACCCTGAATCACTTGTGAGAGGAGAATGTAATATACTTTCGTACATAACGTATATCAAACTGATATAGATAACTTTGTTCTCATAAGCAATAGTTTAGCTATTAAGTGGGGCACTCAATAAATTATTTTGCTAAACCAACTGTGATGTAAACCAACTTATCAAGATGAACTGTCTTGAATAGAATTCTGAAATTATGCTCTAAATTAAATAATTGAGAAAGTTACCTCGCAAATACCAGGTTGCGGGTTAATAGTAATCACACATGTAACTATCTAATAGATGCATCTTATGTGGTATACATGGCAGGTGAATGAGCCCATATTGACCTTTGATATTCTTAGCATTCATGGGATCCAATCACAATTTTAATTGGTTTATTAATTAATGAGAACAAACAACATAAGAGATTCGTATACAACTTTCTAGTTCTTTAATATTTATCCATGTGAATTCTCTTTTATTTTTGCATATCATACTTAAATTAACATGGCTAAACTAATTATGCCAACCGAATAAATTATCAATATTGATAAACTTCATGTTTACACCATGACGTGTGCAATTATCAATAAACTCCAAATTTATTATGATATGGATTTTTATATCAATAAACTTCTACTTTATTGTGACATTCTTTTATTTGTGTAGTACAGACTCGAGAATAAAGCAGGTAACTTTTCACATACATACTACTCCGCTACAAGTTGTAGTAATAGAAGATATTAAATCTTTCCTTTATTTATAGCCTCAATATAACCAACCACTTTCGTGAATACTTTAGAAAATAAATAAGTTTCTTTGAGACTTACTACGACACAATACCTTATTAATAATCAATTTTATTTCTCCATAATAGTATAATTGGCTCTTCTAGAGCTTTCATTTAATTTTGTACTACCACATATTCATCAACATCCATGTGGTGAATATCTCTTTCAAGGACAAAGTTATACCATTATGGTCATGGTCAAATCATTATAGGAAGATATGTTGCTTCCATTACTTTTACCCTTTAATAATCACATTGCCATAATATTTTGGCACAATCACAATAGGTACGTGATCAATGATCGTTCATGCCATAATAATAAAATTATTTTCTTATTTCATCTCAAACCTCCTTCTAGAGGTGAATGTGTTATATTCACTACCACTAGTACGTTCATATTCTTCCAAGAATGATGATGTATTCATAAATCACATGTTATCACATTCACATTATGAATGGACCATAATCATATGCATGTGCTTTACAAAATCTCATGTCAAATCGATGACAAACATTACTTTCACAGAATGAAGGATTATTTTGAGAATCCTTATTATTCTCATTACCACAATGATGACGATTATAATTTCGTCTATTGACACATCTACATCTATTGATACCTTCACCGTAATAATTTTATCTTCTTTTAGACTTATCACATACCGCTACCATATTCTCTTAAGGGAATGAGAATGAAGCAAATTCAATGGGACGAGTTTTCACTTTTTGTGCCCACCATCATACATGGATTTGATCATGGCAAGGCATAGAAATTTTACCACTTCAGGTAGTTATAATTTCTTACAAACTCTATTAGAGTTATAATCAAAATTTATTGTCTTTGCTTATATTTAAAATCAAATTATAGAATGCCAATAATTTAAAAGAGAAAAATAAGGTAAAATACTTACCTTAAATCCATAATTGATTCCTAGGGGAAGTTCACGGAACAATTGACAATCATTATGCTCAATATTATGTATAAGTTGAGCACCATGCACGTATCTCAAAGCCTCTACTCAATTGGTTGGAGTCTCGTGCTGATATAACATGTTATAAAACAATAAAAGAAGAAGAGTATTGCAGAAAAAAGTAAAGAGAGAATTCTTATTGATTTGGATGAATTACAAAGGAATGAAACTCCTCTATTTATAGGAAAAAAATGACTTAGCCACCAAGTAACAAACCCTAAAATCTCTCTAAAATATAAACATTCATCTTAAATACAGTTTTATTTATAACAAAAAAGATAAACTTTTTGAAATATAAACTAATTGTTAGATTCCCTTATAAGGAAAGATTTTTCTATAATGATAAAAATATTTAAAAACTAGCTTATATTATATGTTCAGAGTTATACTCGAATATCTATATCTATCTATATTTATCTATCTATATCTATATACTATATTAAAAGCACGAAGACACTTAGCAAAATATCGTTTGTTTTTTTTTTCCCTTTAAAAATAGGTTTTACATTGAATAAAATTGTCATTTTACTTATCTTACTAATATTTAGGACTTTTACATCAACTAAAATTCTATTTATTATATCTTTCCTTATTTAAACTCTTAAAAAAATAAATTTAAAAATCAATAAAGAGTTTACCTTATATACACGATTCACTTTAATTATGATACAACTAGATGCTGAAAATTACCTTAGATTAACGTTTTTAAATTTCCTTTCTACTAGGAAATCACTTAACTTGAACATTCTATGTTTTTATATTTTGTTTAAATTTTTATTTTGTGAAAATAAATCATAACAACATTGCATATATATAGTCAGCAACTAAGTTTTTGAGCTTCGAAGAGTTGTTCTTACCAAAAGTATCTGGTCTACTTTTATATTCATTAAGCTAAATTTTACACTAAACCAATAGTTATTCAATTATTTTTTAATTTAATGTCAGTCTAGACTCAAAGATTTTATTTGTTCCAAACTATCTCTATTCCCTTGTAGATGTCCACATAACTTTTCCAACTGATATTACACACCTTGAAAATTTTTCAATCTAGACTTAAACACACAGGTATAGACTCAATACTCACACGCATATTCTTGAGCATATTTTAATACAGGAATCATATTCTATTTTCATTCATTCAAAAAAATATTTCAAATTATATATGTATGCTTTAATTAATTTTTTGAAGTACTATTTTTACTCATATTAAGGAATTCATCTTTTAGCATTAATTAACAATAAAATTGACCATATTAACCTTAATTTGCTTATTGAAAGTATAATAGATACTTCAAGACTCTTTACTCCAAGAGAAACTTTGGAAAAAAGAAAATAATGCTTTCTTGATATATGAAAAATCAAATATTATGAACCACATGCCAAAAAATTAATTAAAGTGGACCGGAGGAAGTATTATAAAAGAGCAAAACACCAATATATATAAAATTTTGCTTATTAACTCTATCTTTATTTGAAGTATATAGAAAGCACTAATACTTAAAAACTTTAAAATCAATTAAAATTTTATCTTATATAAATTATATATTATTTGAACTATAAATCATAACTCTTTATTAAATTAATATGATTTTTAAATCTTTATATCGTTAAAATGGGATACATGCGGAATCGCACGTAAAAGCACGAATGCCCTAAGTGAAATATTGTTCACCTTTTTACCCTTTAAAAATAAATTCAACATTGGACAAAAGTGCCATTTAGTATTTTTTGACTTTCACATTAATAACTAAAAATTTGACTATTAAATATTTTCTTATATTTGAACTAGGTAAAAGCTCATAATATTTATGAATTTAATATTTATATATATAAATTTATTTTTTTTCCTTATTTGGATAGTTGTTTTTGCAAAGTCCTAAAATATAAGTCCATCCTTTTCTTGTCACAAAAATCACTATCGTTTTTAATTTAGAAAAGAACCCCCCTTCCATGCACATTCAAGGACCCATCAAGGGTGTTTTTCGTACTTTTTCTCCTATTTTTTTTGTGAATTATAATACTTTTAACTTATAATCTATTGCTTTAGTCTCTCTCTATATATATATATACCTAAATGTGCGGAAAAAATCCCACGTATATATATCTTTTTTGTTTGTAGGAAAAGTTAAACTCACGATAAAATCTCGTGCAACTACACTTTTTTTTATTCTGTTGTTTGATTTTTATCTTTCTAAAAAATTTAAGTTTTAGTGTTTGTTTTATATAGCAATTATTGCAAATATTTGTACAAGTTTTTTATAAAAATAATAAATTATAACGTTATTCCGTAGTATTTAATCAATTTTAGTAGTTTTTTCTATTAACAAATTGATATTATTTATAATTACAAGAATATTCTAAATATATTATTGATAAACGCAAAACTACACAGGTATAAGTTAATGACAAAGGGCAAAATTGTGAATGAATCAAAAGTTTAAGGAATATCAAAATTCATCAATTTCTGATAATACAGGAAGTAAATTTGAAGCTTTGAAAAGAAAAAAGGGGAAAACAGTGCGATTTATTTATTTATTTGGTTCAAAGTAGTGAGCCGCCACTTTCCCTGATAAACGAGATGGCCGGCGAAGTTGCGGCGGAGGTTAACGGCGTCGAGGGAAACATGCAGTTGTGTGAGGAGGAGACTCTACGTCTCCTTCGCGATGCCGTTAATGAGCTGCCGTTAAACGCCGTTAAAGATTTATGGTCCATTGGGGTATGTATGTATTTTCTCATCAAAGAGTTGAACTTTCTTGCGTATGTTGTTGCGTAATATTTTGTTATCAATCAACTTAAGTGTTAGTTTCTTTTTGAATGTTTAATTTATTTCTAAGAAATAAAAACTTGATTTTTTTTTGATAATCGCAAAATGCCTGAGTACTGTTCGGAACTAGGTGGATAAAACAAGGTTAAAAGCTTGAACCTTTTGTAATATCCCGTAAATCGTCCTATGATTATTAATATTAGTGTAATTCACTGAAACTATGAATTGTTTTGGAGAAGGGAAATAAAAGGGATCTTAGTAGTTTTAGCTTTAGAGTTAATTTGAGCTAGAATTCGGTCTATCTGATGAGGCTCCCAATCAGGGGTGGATTTAGGGGCGTGGAAGGGGATTCCCGAACCTCCTTCGCTACAGCAAAATTCGTTTTGTGCCTCTATATATTATATTAGAATCCCCTTAACAAAGCCCAAAAGCATAGCTCAATGGTCAAGCGTGTTCAAAACCTCTGGTTTAATTCCCATTGGCCTCAATTTTTTTTTTTTAAACTTTTCTTTTTTGAACCCCTTAGCGGAAAGACGGCCTCCATCACTGCTCCCAATATATGTTGATATTAATTCGAACAAAGCATCAGTTAGATTTTACCTTCTAACATTAAATATAGGAGAGAGGTATTGGCATAGCAAAGTGGGAATCTTTTTGAAGAAGTGTGTGAAATATTTCAAAGAGCTTCTTCGAGATTTAATGAGAAGCTGAATCTTGTGTAAATAAACTGGGGTGAGTGGACTGACATGTCAAAACAAAATAAGAAGCTTTTAGGTGAATCTGCATTTTCTTAGAAGAGTAGGTTGGGTATGAAATGTACTGATGTTTTAGAAGGTGCATCTATGATTGCAGCCTTACTTCAAATCTCTATTGATCTTGTTATATGACTTAGCACCTTTCATCTTTTTTTTTTTTGAGATGCAACAATTTTTATATTCAGAAGCACAAAGGCTGTGCTGGCCATAATTACAGTTCGAGTCAAACCAGACTAGCAGATGGTGGGACTGTAGGCTATTGGCTTTTTCCTATATCCCCGTTCGGGAAAGCTATTGATTCCATTACCGAACCAAAAAAGTCGGTCTAAGGATAGGAATGGAAGTAGTCGTCTTGAATCCGCTCATTTCACACCAACTAAAGCGGAACTTAATCACCAAGGGCGCGCCTCTGGAATTCTGAAATCCTCTTCTAGGCTGGTGGGTGTCCACTAACAGCCATTCCTGGCTCGGCTCCGAAAAGTCTTCCGACTGAACAAAGGGAGCAAGCTGGATACTAAAAGAATTTGATACAGCGGGGGGGAATGAAGACCACATAGTCTGCAACGTCTTTCACTGCATCGCATTTGCCGGGGTTGAATCCCCTTTCTTGAGATAAGTATGCACCCCATGTACACCAGATAGAGCCACAGTAAAATATACCGGAAAGGGGAACTCCTAACAAAAGCACCATGAGATAGGGCTTTTATCCCATGTTTATTAAAAACACAGGACTTTGCTAAGTGGGTGGCCTCATTTCGCCTTACCAACCCCAGGGTCTAGCACTCCCGTCATGAGACGTAGAAGCAAACAAAAGAAATTTTGACTCCGGAAGACCTGGAAAGACGGAACTACTTTCGGCGGGTCCTTCTATTATCTCCTTCACGCTAAAATGAGCTTCTTTCATTCGTCAGTATGGGGTAGGTTGGATAGTTGGATAGATCGCCTTAAGATTTGTAGCTAGATTACCCCTGGGCTAACTTAACTTGAATCTGTTCTCTTTAGTTTTTCGCTAAGCCTCATGAATCGACATCAAATATAGGATTGTTTGATCGTCTTTTTCTGAGAAAGAGTCAAAATAGAATCAACTTGAATTCGGGACCGTTATTTCTGTTCCCGCCACGAGAAAGACGCACGGAAGATCGGGCTTGGAAAAACTTCCTTTTTCAATTCCAGAAGTTACTGAGCCTATGTAGAAGAGCACCACCACGGTTCAGGTCCCGACTCACTCTTGGCCTCTTTCTGTCCTGACTTGGAAATGAACCCGATGGTCAATCTTTCCCTGGCTTGAGAGGTTTCATTTTGGGTTTGGGAGAAGCTATATTCAAGAAAGCATTCCAGCGAAACGATCCTTTGACAATGGGCTCTGCTCGAGACGAAGTACTTGTCATCCCCAAACCAAAAGGGATGAGGCAAAAAGACTCAAAAAAGCGTCCTTGGAAGGGGGAATATCTTAAAAAGTGTTAGCGGGGAGCCCATCCCTCTCGTTCTTACAGAAGACATAAGGGGGAATACACGACGGACGGAAAGCGGGGAAACATTGTAGAGTAAGGAAGTTAGACCGAAATGAAACGGCATATTTATTATTTATATAAGGAAAAGGGAATTGCATGGGCCTTTGCTTCGAAAACAATCGTATTAGCGCCTTCGGTATTCATTCAAGCAGTAATGGCATACCGATAAAAAAGGTCCCGCCGCCCACCCGAAAGAGACGAGGAAGACTAACCGCCATCCTGCTCGAACCTTTGCTGACTTGACTCGAATGCCCTCTTAGCAATAGCATCCGGTTGGTTGGTCCGGAAAGTCATGGGAGAGGCAGGCTAAGTAAAATAATATACTGGTGCTATTGATTATAGAATCTTATGAATCAAGCACGACACGCTTTCTATATCTCCTCCGTCTATGGACCAAAATATACAACAAAAATTCCTATCTTCTTACAGAGTCCCTAGAACATCTATTAAAGCTTTTGTGTCCACTGTGTATTCTTGTTTACACCAAAAATGAAATAATAGTAGGCAATTCATTTTTATCTTCTGAGTTAAGCTGGCATTGTCTTCAAAACATCTTGAATTTCTCTCTTTCCAGATAGTCCACCATATGTAGGAAGGAATCAGATCCCAACCATTCTTCTCACTTGCACTTCTTCTCACCTTATTCCAGCATGACAGCAGGTCCTTGGTGCTATTTGGCATGACCCAGTGTATCCCTGTTAGAGCTAGGAATATGTTCCAAATTTGAGCAGTCACTGTGCAGTGTAAGAAAAGTGACTATTAGTATCTGCTTTTCTTCCACATAGATGACATCTTGAGCACAATTGCACACCCCTTTTCTTCAAATTGTCCTGTGTTAAACATGCCTGTTTAACTACCAACCAAACAAAAATGCCACTTTGTAAGGGATTTTGGCTTTCCATATGTGTTTCCATGGTCCTTGATCAGTCATTATGTTTGTTTGATTAAGTACCTGATAAGAAGATTTAACAGAGAACCTTCCTGAACTGTGCCCCAGCCACCATGCCTTATCAACATTCAAATTCACCCCCGTAAACTGATTGAGTGTGTTGTAGAAGTCTGTGATTCTAGTGATTTCCCAATCATTTAAAAATCTTCTATAAGTGAGATTCCATCCTTGAGCTGCCAAACATCGTAGATAGTGGCCTATTGCTGCTGATTTATGGAAAAAATATCAGGATACATTGTCTTCAAAGGCTCATGCCCCAACCGGTTGTCTTCCCAAAAGAGGTGTTCTGCCCATTCCCCACTCTAAAGCTGATTTTGTTGCTGAAAATTTGCCAAAGAGCTCTAATTGCCTTCCAAACACTTACCCCATATGGAGAGGTTACTTTCTTTGTTTTCCAAGGCCCCTCTTCCCCATATTTGTCTTTAATTACCATCCTCCATAGTGAATGTTCTTCATTAGTATATCTCCACAGCCATTTGATAAGAAGGCTTTGGTTATGTTTCCTCAAGTTTTTGATTCCCAAGCCTCCCTGTTTCTTGCTGAGAGTAACAATCTTCCATTTAACTAAATGGTACCCTCTTTTTTCTTTGTTGCCTTGCCATAGAAAGTTCCTCCTTAAAGCATCCATTCTCCTCTCTATCTTTGGTGGGATAGGGAATAAGGACATCATATATGTTGACAGAAAAATGCTGTTTTGAGTACGTATGTTGAATTGGCATAGAGGGAGCTCTTACTACAGATTCCCTCTTCGTTATAGCGGGAGGTTTCAAACACATTATCTGTTAATAAAATCCGCGTCATCCCTACGGTCATTTATTCACTGCATATCTTAGCTTCTCATGGTGGGTTGATATAATTGAACATTGCACTTGCTGGAATTGATGAGAGGAGCAATCTGTATTTTCACCTACATGATTATAAGAGCTTTTGAGAGCAACTTTTTCTTAGGCTTTTTTGCCCTCCTCCCCCCTATCCGCTGCAATCGATCCACACTTCCACCAACACCTGCCCTAACCTCTTGCAATCCAAGGGATCTTCAAGTACATGGATTTTGGAAGGTGCTACCATGTGGTTGGTGGAGAGGTTTGCGAGAATATTGAGGGTGGAAAATTAAGTGATTGATTTCATTAGTTTGTTTGCAAAAGACAAATGACTGAATTTTTTGAAGCTTAATGCATTGGTGGACTAAAACTACATCTACTGTAATTTATGATGCTATAAGTTTAATAAAAGTATCTTGTTAAAGTAGGTATCTGGTGAATTAAGTCCACTTGTTGTTATTTCAAAGCCATGTCAAGCGGCTTGTTGCACTATGCTATACCTGAGAACTCTCTCCCTCTAAATAAAGAAGCGAATAGTTTTAGTGATAAAGAAAGAAGTGAATAATTGTTGAAGGTAATTTGGATGTTGATTGTGGTCGGTTATCCATCTGCAATTAGTTTGTCTTGTCATTGGAGTAGAAGATGTTTTCTATTAATTCTTAAACTTGTGACTCAAAAATATCTTTTGGATGTTTCATTTAGGCATGTGCTCGATGCATTTTTCGACTATTTGGACTTCACGAACTCATGTGTTCACATCCTTCACTCTCAATATCAAAGTGGTATGATATCTTAGCAGATGTAATGAGAAAAGAAGATGCTGACACGGCTGATCATCCCCAAAAAGATGGAGAATTTAGTATTAAGCAATTGCATCAAGAACCATTAAAGGAGACAAACTTTTGCAAAATTTGCTTAGGCATTTTGCAATTTCTCTATAATGATGACAGTGGAACTTTACTGAAAAAGGATAGTGCTGATGACTTTGCTTTAGCAGTTTCTGAACCTGTAAAGCAACAACATCACCAAATTGATAGTTTTTCTCTTGAATTCTCATTACCGTCGGCTTTAACAGAAAATGATCAAGCAGTCTGGTAAGATTTTAGTGTCTCATGAATTTCTTGTTATCAATTTCATTCAAGTTAGATAGGAGGGTCAGATGTCGCTCCATATCTGTATGCTAAGAGATATGCCAGCATATTAATATATTCTCTTTCTTTGATCTGAACTAATATACTTGGAGTTTGTTGGTGTTCACCATTAACTTCCATACATATATGTCTATCTAATTTGAGTAACTGGTAAAATATTTTTGTTTTCAGGTTGTATATGAAAAATAGGTACCGCCATGAACTTTGGTTCCAAGAAAAGGCTGAATATCAATTCATTTGTACGAAAGACATCTTGAAATTGTTAGTGACAAATCCATTACAAAGCTTATTGGTAATGAGGTCCTCTTTTCTGATCTCTTTTGCACCCGTACAGTAATATCAATATTTTGAAACTTTTACGGGATTTGAATAATGTTGGTATTAATTGTTATTTTTCATTTATATATAATAAGATACCTTGAAATTGAGAAAATAGATAGGGGACAAACATTCTAACTGAAACGCACTGGGCTGGGTGTTCAATAGACATATGCCTGTAAAATAAATTATATATATGTAATAGTGTTTTCATGTTCTGCAGGGTGTAAAATCTAGTCAAGGTTCTTTGCGCATTCGCTTAACATATTCACATTCTGATGCATTAACAAGAGATGACATTCAAGAACGGAATGGAGGAAATAAGAGGAGGAAAACAGGCATGCTACATTGTCAAATTTCTCTTTTTTCCTATTTGAGAGTGTTAAGTTTCTGGAACTTATTACTCTTACCTTCCTTCTTCTCATTATTGTGTCTCAAGAGTTGAGAAACTATCCAAAAGGTGATAGTTTTCTTGTGCGCAAGTAGGGATAGATAAGCGTCTTCATTTTTCTTTTGGTTTGACAAACGATATTTAGTTTCCATGTTTTCCTCTTGTTAATGAATCTCATAGCTTAGGATCAGATGCTAGGCTGATGTAAACAGATGATACTTCTGATGTTTTGACTGTTTACTGCTTGAGGCTTTCGTTAAAATATCTCATGTTGAGGTTCTTCCAACTCTTTCCCTTGCCCCTAGTTAGCACCTCCAGCAGTATAGTCCTTTCGTATTCATATTTTTATTTCATATGCTGTTTAAAGTAGACAGGTTGGAAAGATTATCTATGTTCCAAGTTTGCGATATTATAGTTAAATTGTCATTTAAGGATCTTGCTCGATTTAATATTAGGGGATGTATGACTCTAATATCGATGTTCAAACTTCAAAGGAAGTAGTTTTACAACCAAAGGGAAATAGAGATCACATGAATTGTGGCTTATATGCTCCTGCATTTGATTTTTTGATCTAACGGCTAAAGTGGAAAAAGTATTCTATCAGTATTTTAATTTTCTGATTACATGTGCTAACTAAAATTCCATTCTGTGCTCCATAATATCTGTTGGATCAAATGCTGCTTGGTTTTCATCGTGTAGTCAATTTGGGAGCAATAGAAATTATGACTGATTATTGCCTTTGACAGGCAAAGCAGGTTTCACTGGTGACCTCAAGACAACTGAGGAATCTGTTACTCCCCATGTTGAGTCTTTTGATAATCATATTGGTGATGGAGATGGACTGACGAAAGTTTGTCCCAAGGACTCTCAAGATCTCAGTTGTAGTTACTTAATGGCTCAGTTAAATAAGGTATTGTGTCTAGGTATATTCAGTAGGTTGGTTCTCGGATTTTCATTTGTTTTTCGGCACTCCATATTAATGGAACTCCTGTCTAAGCAGTATAACTTTTTACTCTATTTGAAGTATATTCGATGTGCATGTTTTTCTATTATATATATATATAGTGAGAATTTTCTTCACAGGTCAGTAAGCCTTGTTGTCTGACCATTCATTGCTGTAGAAGCCCTATATTTATTGGAGGAAGATATTTCAAGGTATAGTAAATTCTACCTGAAAAGCTTGTTGTAATTAAACTTCTCTGCAGAAACCCATGAATAGGCATCAATGTTTGTTTGTATTTATTGAATTCTGGGCTCCGCATCCAGTTTAGCGTTTTGACTCCCAAAACGTTATCGCCAATGCTTTTGCTGCATTCCGTTCTCCAAAAAGGAGGAAGAAGACTAGATCGAGAAGGATGCAAAATGTTGTGGAGAAGTTAAATCATTATTTGTGAAGGATAAGATAGGTGCTTGAGAAAATTTTATTGTCAGTAAAACCCACTATCCTTTGACTATTAACTACAATTATTTTGTAGGCTAAACATTGTAAACCAATAGTTTGCTCGCGTACCAACACTGTAGGGCACTGAGTAGAGTAGCTCAAGACTTTTGAAAACCCTCGCAAATTGGGTGGCTTTGATACTATATAAAAGAATGTAAGCATCCAATCCAAAACCTGAGATAAGTAGAGTGATTCAAAACATTTAATATCCCTTTGTATGCCATTATATATCTGATATAGGACGTTATCTCTAACAATCTGAAATTGTGGAAGGTGTTTTATTCTTCAAATCTAACTTATCAGGCTACCATTAGAGATCTAGTTTATAATTAGTCATCTAAGCTCGTTTCATATCCATTCCTGAGAAGGCTTATTTCTATACTTATGAATCTGGCTTCTTGCCCATTATCATCAAACTTTATCTTTGATCAACCCTTCTTAGTTCCATAATCCTTTTCAAAAGCTGCCTTGACAGAATATTGCCCAACTGAGAATGTACCTTTACTGCAGTATTCAAGAAATGTCAGCCAGACACGCTGGGTTATCGATGATGAAAGAATGGGAGAAGCATCTGTTGAGGTATATCACCCTATTCTTCATAGTTGTAATTTCTATAGTGGAAGTTACTGTGAATAAATGTTTATAAATGTTAACCCTTCCTTGAATGTTCTCTTAGGAAATAGTAGGCAGGGCCATCCTTCCTATCTTCCAGGGTGACAATTATAAGTTCCATGCTGCTGGTAGGGAGGATATTGATGTAAGAAAGATGTGGTTTCTGACAGACCCAGAAGTATCGTATGATTATTGATCCTCTAGTCTCAACACTGCCTTTCTCAGGTCCGGATGCTGGGTACAGGCCGTCCTTTTCTGGTAGAGATACAAAATGCACGCAAAGTCCCTTCTGAAGTGCTCATAAAAGAGATAGAGAGGAAAATTAATAGTCTAGAAAGTCAATTGGTGAGTTAGTTAATACTTCTAAGCCGTCTTTGATAACTTAAACGAGTGTGGAGCACATAGCACTTTGTCATTTGCCAATTCATATATGAGACGGTCTTTACATATTTGTACGCAGGTCAGGGTTAAAAATCTTAGAGCTGTAGGTAGTCAAGGGTGGGACCTCATGCGTGAAGGAGAGGCGGAGAAGCAGGTAAACTTCTGGTCATTTAAGCTTATAGTAGTTGTATTTACCAGCAGATCTCTGCTGAGTATATTATCTATTTCCCTTGTTTATTGCCCATCCCATTTTTTGTAAGTTATTTCTTTCCATCCAATACAGAAGCAGTACACTGCATTGGTGTGGATTTCTCGTCCCGTCAGCGATGATGATTTGCAAACAATATCGTCATTAAAGGAATTGGTGAGAGGTCCTCTATTTGCATTTAATAGAAAGAGCTTGAAAAGTTCCTAATTGTTTGTGAAATTTAAGATAAAAGTATCAGGAATATATTGTCTTATTAGAAAGAAAAAAAAACACGTATCGGAGCACTACCTTTTATTAACTGTTGGAGCCCCTGGCTTGATTGTTCATGTGTCATATGCTCTCCTTTTCATTAGCTTTAAACAACTAGTATAAAACTTGGGTCTAGCATCAAATTTGTTTTTGAGTGTAATTTGATAATGTGTTAAATGGCTGATCCTCCACCATTTTTATCTGATAATTTGTTTCATTTTCTCTCTTCCTTTTTTTTCTCCGAGCTTCAGAAAGTTGCTCAAAAAACGCCTATAAGGGTTCTCCATCGCCGAAGTCCATTGGAGAGAGAGAAAATTATACATTGGTACGAACAATTTCTAGCAACAGACTAACAGTTATATGCTTTACTTGTTTATCAATCCCTGACAAGTGTTGTTTCTTGTGTCAGGATGAAAGTGGAGAGGATCTCTGGAAGCTCACAATATCTTCTACTGCATCTGTGTACTCAGGTTACCGTCTACAGTTGACGTTACTTTGTTTTTCTCTAATTATGTTTTCTTGGGAAAGAGAATAAGCTAATTACTACCTATCTCAAAAATATTTCTGGTTCTTATGATGCTGTCATTATTTCTTTATTTTTCTGTTGATGGTACTGATATAGTGTTTCTTTTCGTCGTCTTGAGCCGAGGGTCTTTCGGAAACAACCTCTCTATCCCCTTGGGTAGGGGTAAGGTCTGCGTTCACACTACCCTCCCCAGACCCCGCTTATGAGATTTTACTTAGTTGTTGTTGTTGTTGTACTACCTATCTCAAATTTCTTTAGAGTGTCAAATTGTTTTTCTTTTGATATTGGAAAGAAAATGCATAATACTGTGTCAAGATATCAAGAAAGGTGTCACAGAAAGAGAGAATTCGTCACTGCCCCAGTTTCAATTTGGAACTGTATTTCACTTCGTAAAATAGTTTAGACTGTTTAAGATAATGTAAATTGGTCCACTTTTGTTGGCTTAAAATTTTAAGTTGTATAAATTTGGAGTCAGGAAGTATAAAGGTGGTCTTAGTGTTTTAGATTTTGTTGTTTTTGAAAAGTTTCGGAGAACTGAAATTATTTGATCTCTGATAAGAGTAAGCATGCTATTCAATCTGCAATAGAAGTGAATGTTAGGTATTTTCCCAAATAAGACGTAGATGCAAATACTTCTGTCTTTACAATTGACAAAAGCTCTTTTTTCCTTGTCTTGCTTTCTCGTAAAAGATGCCAGAGAGGAAGTTTCTGGGAGCCTCTTCTTTTACCATCAAATCTCTCTCTCTCTGTACATATATGTGTGTGTATTGTGTGTGTGTATATACTTGTTTATGTCTCCTTTAACCTTCAAACTTGGATTGTTCCGAGGCTTGAGGTTCCTTAACCTCTTGTGACTCTTTTTACGGTGTCATTTCTGTAATGCATGATGTGCCTAAGGGTTGAAGAGTTCTTTCAAAATTGTTGTAAAAGAGCATAATGCAGTGGCAGCTGTCTTTTACAGGCTGGGACATATATCAAGGAATTTGTTCATGGGGATTTTGGTCGCACCCAGCCCAGGTATAAAGTGGTTATTTATGTCTTATCCATTTAGTTTAATGTTGTGCTTTTCCCTTTACCATTATATGGTTGCTATTAGCCGTCTTGTTTTATTCTCATCGCTAAATGCTTCCCCAGAAGTAATGTACTGTGAGGGGCCACATTGTGACCATAGAGAGGATTATGATATACTGAATTATAATGAGGAAATTATCAGGGAGACCAAATGTGCAGATTTATGCTTGTGTTTTGCATTTGATTCATGGTTTTATAGGTGAAACTGGAGTAGGAAGAATAGTAATTAATTTTCTGTGACAAAAATAGCACTTTGGTCCTCATTTAGCAAGTATTAGGCACTCTTTCTGCATTGGTAGTACGATCAAACTCAATAACTTTTTGATATGTTCAAACTCGAGAAACTTATAAATTCATGGTCTATAGCTGATATTTGAATTGTTATATGGATTTGGATGAGGAACCTGGTGCTGTTTGTGTCAACAATAAGAGATGTAATTCAGTCTCTGACATATTATATTGTGCTCTGTTGATCTACTTATCAGCTCTTCAACCATAAATTTACAAATCTTTTTGTATACTGCAGTGTTGGTTCAATTCTTGGTCGCAGAGCAGAGATACTGCAGCTCGATGTTACGGACGTGAAAATGGACTGCTTTCAGGCAGAATGATAGGACGATAATTCTGTCGGATCCAGAGACTTGTGATCACGCCCAACTATGCCTTATAAAAAGAACTAAGCGGTTGTTGCAAATATAATCCGGTTTACAAGTCCGGAGTCGAATCCCACAGAGAACTAAGGCTTAGCTATAACTGTTCAATATTGCTGAGCAACACAAGTCCAAACAATTTCCTAATTATAGAGATTATAATATTTATTTCTAACTAATTATAGAGATTATTATATTTATTTCTAACTAATTAACTAACAACTATTATAAAAGAGTAAAATTATCAACTAACACGGATGAAATTTAAGACAAGACTAAGGAGGTCTAGAGTTATGATTTCCCCAATTGTCGGAATCCTTTCCGCTATGCCTTCTATAATTTTGCCTAAGTTTTCTCTACCGATCATGAGCGCTCTGAGTGTCGTAATTCTCTCCCGAGTAAGTACCACAATTTATTAGATAGATTCTTCCGAATTACGCTAGCTGGCACTAAGTACGGCTCACTCAGATCGCATCAAAGTTTCGTTATTCCTAATCCCACCTTTAAACCCTCCGTTTTGATCCCTCATATACATTAGGAGTGATGTTGTTCAACAACTACCTAAATATGCACTTTCTTCCGAGTAATACACACTAAATAGGCACAATCGATTGAGAGCTTTTCAACCAACCACAATAATAACGTAGTTGAACAAGTAGAGAAATTCAACGACTCAATTATATAAAAACATAACAAGAATTTATCCTACAAAAGGTTCCATCAAAACTCTAGATAACAAATTAGCTATTCATAATAGTATGCAAAACTACAATACTAGAATCCATAACCAATAATTGAAATAGGAAGAAGTGAAATACTTGTAGTAGAATTCCTCGTCTTGCTCCTAGTGTGTTCTTGCCTCTTTAGGTCAAAATTCCAGGTCTAATCTCCGTCCCCTCTCGCTCTCCCTTTAAAAAATGGTGTTTAATGACTATTTATATGTGTAGGGAAAAAGCCTAGATGAAATAACCAGTCCAAAACTAAAAAGGAGACGAAATAGGCTTGAAACCCGAACCACGCGTCACCTCGCGACAGACAGACCGTGCCTAGCCTGCTCTGCCGCGTGCCTCCAGCTCGCCTTACACCGTGCGTCGCCAACGTTTTAGTGAGCAAATATCCTCGCGTAGCCCTTCCTCAATTCAATTCTGCTGCCTAACTCTTCAAATTAACGTTCTCTTCTTTTTCAAAAATCCTTTGCATTATTTCATTTTGTCTTCTTTTGTTTTGTCTTCAAACATTGCAAAATTATACATAATAATATTTTCCGTCATCAAATAATCACGAACCACTCTTAGTATATAAAATATACATAAAATCTCTACTTTGCTTCCACGTTCGTCTTCAACGTATCTACACATAAAATAAACTCAATTAAGCACAAATATAATATAATTTAGCATTAAAGCACCAAAATGTAAGGTAAGTAATGTACTAAAAATATATAATTATAACCAAACATCACTATCTACACTTAAACGTTGCTCGTCCTCGAGTCAACTAACAATTCACACTATCTTTGAGCACTTTGTTTTTACACAATTGAGGCACACTACACCAATGACCATGGTTAATTGCAACAATTCAACTTTAGCATATGCAAATCACATACACTTCCCTTTTCTTATGCCAAACTTCAAAAATATTCAAATAAAGACAACATGCTCATAACAATCCTAGCCTCAAAAACCGACTCAAAAGTCACAATGCACTCATGGCTTGAACACCCAACATCATAGAGAGAAGTCTGGTAATGTCACATATCCCTTGCGAAATCATGTGCTCTCACAACAAGAACAAATGAGTAAGTTGAATTCACACATTCGAATCAAATGCTCAAATATATTTTAAGGACTCAGATAAATCAAATTCCTCACTCTCACAAAGAAGTCACATGCATGCACAAAGTACCATAGGCTTGCCCGTTATGTAAACCTCTACTAATGTAGGCTTGCTCAATCTAAAATTAGTTAGGACTTTTTCATGGTTGTAACGTGGGTTAAGGGAAGGGTAAGATATATTTTGGATTAGTGGTTCATCCTTCCAAGCAGTTTAACACATTACATAATAACTTTAAGCGCAAATTCTTCAATCCACTTTAATTTCACAAACAAGATCACACCCCAAAAATATTCTCCCTTTCTTTAAGCACTACTTTACTTTATATCCCACTAGCAAGAACAAGACAATAATTTATTCATCTATATTTTTCCTTCTTTTCTTCTCTTTTTTTTTCTACTCTTGTTTTTCCCTTTTCAGTTTTCGCTAGTGGTGTATTACTTTAAAAAAATAAGTGCACCCTTCTTTTTTTTATTGGTTTCACTCGAAAGCCACCCCACACTTAGTCCTTACTTCTTCTAGCGCTCATTTCACAATTAAAGTGCTTTAAGAGGTAAAAGGATCAAAATAGTGAAAATTTAGAACAAATGGGTATATGCTTGTAATGTGGTTGCCAAATAAAAATCTATAGGTTCAAAAGGGTTGACTAGGAATAATTTTTATTCGTGGTAAGCATTAAGTTCAAAAGAATCAAATAAAGCCTAAAATCATTTTTCAAATCGAGCAAAACCTAAAATTTCGCTTAAACTCACATGCCGGGCAAGTTCTAGACTCTACTGCAATGACACGAGCTATACAATTTCTCACCACACATGGCACATGACTCACTAAGGACGGTTCTATTCTGATTCTCAAATAATTACAAGTATTCACGGAGCTACGAGATGTTAAGCATTAAGCACAAAGTGAACATAAGTCAAGAAAATGAGACATATGCGTCAATAGACCTGCTATATGACTCAATAAGGCATCATAAGCAATTTCAAACTATAGGGAAGGTAATACACATGCTAGAGCCTAAATATGCTACTATCAAACAAGTCAAAAAGCGCCTAGGAATTTCATATTCCTTCTTTTATTCCCTAAATCTTAGTCTACTCTAAAAATAAAAACTATGACCCGGTTCAAACTACATCCCATGGAAAAGAATCGAGGCACAAAGAAAAGTCATGGGGGATTATTACATTACCTACAACGATTTTTTTTCTTTAGACTTAAATCCCTCAAGAAAGCTGTCTAGGAGATCCATCGTCGGGAAAAGTCCAATCTTTTCTATTTTTCGAAAAAAATTAAAAAAATTAATGAATTAAACTAACACAACTAAAATAGCATAGAAAATCACTCAGACAATCTCCTCACCCCACACTTAAAATTGTGCATTGTCCCCAATGCACACCCATAAATATAAGAGGGTAAAAGGAACTCCCTGGTAGGCCAAAGGCCGAAGCACTAGCAGCTCATGGGGTACTCAGACTTCTCCCAGGCCTGGTCCTTCGTGCGGGTACCTCACACTTAGTTCCAACCATCTGGGTTGCTGTTGCTTTTTTTCAAATGGCCTTGCTTCCCATGCTCCTAGAGAAATAAAAACAAACTACAAGAATAATACAATAATAAAAAATAAAAAATAAAAAATAAAAAGAAGTAAACCTCCCCACAAGCGTTTGATTTAACATCACGGCACGACGTGAATCACTTTATGCCTCTACTTCGAACTTATGAATTGGACCCCAAGTTTTGATTCAAGCTTATGATTATGCTCCTGGGGTGGTGAAACGAGTCTAACTGTCCCAAGGAAATAATGTAGTATTCTGCACTTCTTGGCCTTTACATGAGGTGTGTAATCCTGACTTTGAGGCAAGAAAAATTATAGAATGTAGGCACCTTGTTCCTCATTCCGTGACTCCTCAATCGACTCGGATGACTCTATCTCCATATCATCATCCAATTTTAATGTAGAAAAATATTTGGAGTGAGGACCAATGCGCTCAAACACATGAACTTCAGGACTTTCAACATCC